TCTTTTTAGCAGCGCCAAGAACATCAAGGCAATTTGGCTTGACCTTGACCATTCCATTGGATTCTCTGAAAAAAAGGTAGCTCGAAGCTCCTTGATGCATTTTCATGAGACATCACGGCCCCTCTGGCTCTAACAGGAGAATCTGAAACTCGAAAGCAAAGAAGCAGCACCTTATTCTGGTGCGTACGTTTTTCGGGATTCTCGTTCGTTAAGACAAGGGGCATGGTGCTGGTGAGTGGGGGCACTAGGCGGGCGCAAGCCGCGAAAATCATGAAACCCATCCTGCGCTGGATTCCACACCGCAAGAGGACACTGCCACTCGAAAGGGCTGACATGAGGGTCTCATGATGATGAGACCGTAGTCATTGCCCAGACAATCTATCGCTCGCGTTAAGGAGCAGGGAGTTTAACTGAAGATCGTCCCTGACATGCCCCATGTATTGTCTCGGCAATTCGCTGGACTTGCCCCTGCAAAGTGACACTTCGCTTTGGAGCTGTGCGCTTGTGATGCGCTTTCTGATCGGCGTGCGCTATGAGCGATCCTGTTGGGGGACACACAGCGCTGAAGGCCAAGCCTCATTGGGCAACGCTGCCGACTTTGGGCAAAAAAATGTTTGTGATGTTAGCGCCGAATTTGGAAACTTCAAAGGTGATCTTCATGGGCCTGCTCTCTTCTTAGGATCTTAGGACGCCTGTCAGCTAAACAGCTGCGCAGTACCATTAGCATGGAAGCCAGTCCATGAATGACACCTCCCGCGCGCATCCTTCGCTACCACTTTAGAAGTTGGGCTTGTGGTGTGACAGGCTGCAGACATTGACATGCGAGTTTCCCAAAATGAGGGGTTCCCCTTCTGGGAGGGCCTATAACGAGGAGGATTGGGGTCAATGCTTGGGCTCTTGCTAATTATTCTGGAAAACCCTATCTAAGTTTCCATCATCTTTTTCACTCGAGTCTCCATTATTGGGGTAAAGCCCCATAAACAAACAAACCCTATCTATCCCTATGTGGTAGTTTCCCTACACGGCGAAACCCCAATATAAACTCCAATATACAATAATTCCTTTTCAGGAGCCCTCAAAATGGTATGTCTAATTTCAGGAAGCCCCCCATATGTCCCTACATATCCCTCCCTGCTAGCAAGTACTTCAGCCCCAAGTGAATCAGGCCTGGCATCTCGGTCTGCCTCCAAAGCCTGACCTCTTCGACTTCCTCCAAAGCCAGGCAGTAAAGTCAGGTGCCAGGCAAAAGGAGGCCAAGACGAAATGTCATTCAGGAGACTCATGGTACACTTAAATCTGGGGATCTGGGGGGGGGGGGGTCTGGTACATGGTCCATTATAGATGATAGCAGCAATGCTGGTAATAGTAATTGTGATAACAATACTGTTCTCGTGACAATGGATTTCAGGCTTCAAGCTCCTGTTTGTAGTCCTCAGTGCCAATCGCGTTTTTCACTTTGTGGTTGCAAGGGCACGGGCACTTCAATACATGAGGGACATGGTATGGGGTACCCACGAAGCAGGCTCCAACAAAAATCCCATAAGCATACTGAATGCAGCCCCGCCCGTGAAGTACAGGAGTGTTTAGGGTTTAGGGGCGGCGTCTTTATTGAACAAACTTCTATCCGCCCGCGGAATGCACCTGAAGCAAAACACAATCATATCTTAAGCAGACTCTAGTGCGTGCTCAGAAGCATGCCTCACAGACAACCACTTCCCTCTCATCACGATAGTATATGGTGGTCCACATTAGGGCCCCCCATTTATGGCATACCATAAAACCGCAGATTTACAGTAAGTTTATTTCCGACTTTCCTTCCCATTTTGATTCTCCATTGCTATAGCCTGAGAAGGTCTTTTGTCTCGCATTTCTTGACTTGCTACACGTACAGCACAGTAAAACTATTGTGCTCCTACCGCTGAAAGCTGCATAAGCAAAAGAGAGGACCATGTGCTGCCATTGGACTTTCTTTGAGGGATGTGCTGTGACAGGCCCGTGCCACGACAAGCTCTTCGACCACTGCCCCAGCACCGAGGCTACCTGATCGGCGCGAGGCTGTTCCAAAAGTTTGAAGGGCTTTGTTCTGCGGGCTTCCTTAAGCCGCGGCTATGCTGTCAATCTGCAAGGCCGCTAGGCTTGCCAGCCGACTTGTGCCTGGTTCTAAGCTGCCCTCGCTGTCTGAATGATGGCCCCACCAGTGGCCCCAGTTTGCACCAAGATCCTCTCCAGTATCTTCCTGCTGCAGCACGCTCTCGTCTGTAGCTAAGCCTCTGCACATAAATGGCACGTAAATGCATTTCTGGGCTTGAATCAGTCAAGTTCACTTTGAGAGGTACAGTCCTCAAAGCAGTGAAGGCACTGACGTGGGCACCCTACTTACGGCATGTCCAATGCCGTAACTTGGTAGGCTCCCTAAATAGGGGGACCCCCAAAATACTAAGATCCTTAAGGGACCCTGGAGTTGGATGTTTTTCGTCGACTGTAAGTCTCAGGGTTCAGGCTTAGGGTTTAGGGTTTGGGTCTCACTTCCTTCCTATTCTAACCCTATTGAAAGCAGCTTCCGTAACCTATTCGTAACCGCAGGGTCCCCCACGAAGTGACCCTAGTCCCGACATCCGACTCCCTAATTCCTAAGCCCTGACTGGTGGTTAGTAGGGAGTAAGGGCAGATAATTTCTACATAGTCCCCATATAACATATTCCCTAGTATAACCGCAATATACACCCCATTATAATATAGTAGTTTCCATTTTATTTCATTTATCCCCTACCAACTCTAAACCCATATTACCCAAATATATTCCCTTATACCTTGTTACCCACACCCTAAACCCTGCATATTTCCTTATTCCCTACTAGCCGCCAGTAAGTTACTGAGGCCTTGAAAGAGAAGGAGATGTCTCCGCTTCAGAGGCCCCCAATGTTTGCCGGAATAAGCTCCACGCGGTTAGGATTTAGGGCTTAGAGTTTAGAGTTTGGAGCTTAGGGTTTGGGGTTTAGAGCTTAGGGTTTAGGGTTTAGAGCTTAGGGTTTAGGGTTTAGAGCTTAGGGTTTAGGGTCTGGAGCTTAGGGTTTGGGGTTTAGAGCTTAGGGTTCAGGGTTTAGGGGAGCCTCTTCCACTAGGTAGAACATGTTATATGCTGTATCACAATTTTACAAAGTATGTTACAGTGTAGTTTAGTACAATATGTAATAGTGTAGTTTAGCATGGTATGTTCTAGTGCAGTTAGTACAGTATGTTATAGTTTGGTTCAGCATACTATCGCAATAGTGCAGTAATTTGGCGGGATATAGTATGGTATAGCGTAGATTAATACAGTGTGTAATCTAGTAGTAGTTGTAATGCTAGAAATATGAGCTTTCGTCCAAACTTCTTAAAGGGGGTTGTGTAGGGGATTATATATATATATATATATAGAGCAGTATTAGCGGGGTGAATCAGGGGATATTTGTTTAGATTATGGCTCATTTCGTATGTAACTGGTAGATAATATTCATGATGCAGTTATATTGCCCTTATCATGACTCCTGATATAGACTGTCACAGGCTGGGGGCAGTAGCCAACCCTATACCCTAAACCCTCTACCCTAAACCCAATAATTTCTAAAGGGAGGTTATGTAGAGGATATACAGGGAACGATTATAGGGGTATTGAGGGGGGAACTAGGAGTATAGCATATATATATATACATATACATACTCTAAATCCTGAACCCTAAACCTTAAATCCCGAAGAAAAAAACCCTAAATCCTAAACCCTGAACCCTAAATCCTGAACCCTAAACCCTAAATCCCGAACCCTAAACCCTAAATCCTGAACCCTAAACCTTACATCCTGAACCGTAAACCCTTAAATCCTGAACCAGGGGACCTCTTCTCTCCTCACAGGAGTGGCTCGGGACCTCTGAGCTTGGGCCCTGGCCCTGCCTCGCACCCGCGGCCAGCGCGGCCTTCTCGTGCCAGAGGCGCGCAGTTTTTGGGGTTTAGGGTTTAAGGGTTTAGGGTTTATGGGTTAAGGGTTAAGGGTTTATGGGTTAAGGGTTTAGGGTTTATGGGTTAAGGGTTTAGGGGTTTAGGATTTATGGGTTGAGGGTTTAGGGTTTATGGGTTGAGGGTTTAGAGGTTTATGGGTTGAGGGTTTAGGGGGTGAGGGTTTAGGGTTAGGTCACTCCCCCTACAGTAATAGCCTAGGTTGACTGTAAGGAATAATGGTAACTATATAGGGGTTCTCTTACATTCCTATCATACAACCATTGCTTGGTGGGGGGTCCACCTAAGTAATAGCTCTTAAATATGGAGTTAATAGGGCCTTGATATACCTACAGTGGTCCCTTTTGGCACTGGGTGGGGTATTAGGTCCGTACACAGGGAGAGTCTAGGGTTCAGGGCTCTACTGCAGACTCCCACATCAATATATCATAATCCTGATTATGGGGACTCCCCAACAGAAGGGGCCTGGCTTTGAAAGTGACGTGCGCGTAAGGGCCGTTGCCCATGTTCGTGAAGAGTGTAGAGTTTAGTCATCACAATGGAAGCACTGGAGTGTCGTGCAGAAACATGGCTCAGAGTGCATCAGAAGGTGCAGATATGGTGCAAGGCTCAGCGTTTCATATGCCAGCAGAGATTATGTGCTGAGTATTTCAGCTTTGCGCACACTTGCAAATTAGGCCTGGGCAGATCGTGCAGAGGCCACCATGTTCGCAGACAACAGCCTGGGCCCCGACGCCGTCAAAGGTGTGGGGTTTAGGGTTTAAGAATGCCGGCTGTCCAGACTCGAGACTTACGTAGGTAGACGTTCTATATATAGGGTTCAGAGATATTACCCCAACGGTGGAGATCTAATCAAGTGGGGAAAGAATGTGGAGAAATGCAATGGAGACCATTATGCAAGCTTTTCGCGGCTGAATCCCAAGAAATGTGTCAACCAATGGCCTTTGCTCAAGAATGATCTGCTGCTCCAGTCCTTGCACAAGTGCAGCTCAGCGTCACGGAGTGCGGCCATGGCATTCTCGTTTCCAGATGACTATGGCTATGTAGTGCTTGCGCACTGCATGTCCTGGATCTCAAATATGTACCTGACCATCAATGTAGCGTGGCCCTCAGATTCCTGAAGATCAAGAAGTGCAACTCATAGCAAAGCATCACAACGCGGAAGCTCCCAAGGTCAAGGCGCGAAAGCAGTACGGGATCAAGTATCCAGCCCTCTACGTGGCCTGGCCTGTGCTTGAGATGTTGCCGTCTTCTAAGCCGGATCCCATATTTGCTCTTGTTTCTTAAGCTGAGGCACCCGATGGCCACCCAAATGCCGAGAGTTTCAATAGTGTGCAGTTGCATGACTGCAAGTGATGGCACTCATCTGCTGAGAGGGGTAGATATTCTGAAGCCAGTGAATCTGCACAGGCGAGCTCACCAGAACACCCTTGAGAATTGGGCGCCGGTGCAAATTCTCATGGCAAATTGGCTCAGAAGTGCATCTTGACAGCTACAGAAGATCATCGTGAAGAGTAACATCATGAAACTGAGGCCTTCAACGGCATCTTGTACCCCAAGTTTGCAGCTTCTTGTGGCATGATCTGGGCATTCGGCCGAATTGTCTACGGCTAGCGCCTCGAGAGCTCAGCACCTGGGGACCCTGGGGACCCTGCCTTTCCGCATGCTGAGGATATGGCTACGCTAAGGGCGGACCAGACGGGCGCATGGTGGGAGGGCTGCAGCTCATAAGCACTTGGTGTTCCAGATTTATGGATTAATGAGAACTGGCTTGAAGCAAGGTTGTCTCATCTTGGTGACTTTCCACTGTTGATTGGTGGATTCGTGCAACTGGGCAGAGTTGTCACGTCATGCTTTTACTGGTAGAACTCTCAGGATGCCCCGCTTGCAGCAAGGACTGCGTACAGGATGATGACCGCCAAGAACGCATGAACAGAGAACACGCATGGAGCATGCGTGCAGAGGCCCACTGAGCACAGCCAGTGTGCAGCTCAACAGTTTTAATCTTAGTCGGCAACTCAAGGAGCACGGGCTCTGCAGTTTGCATTGATTTCTGTAGTCTCCTTAGGAATCATTCTTTCATTATTTTACAGTCTAACCCTAGAGAACTTCAAAGACATTACAGGTCTAAGGGGACTACAGTGAGTTCCTGGCATGGAAAAAATGGCTGGCAATCAGCAGACATCGTAGTGGAAGTCAAACGCTTTGGTATGCTCTGCTGTCATCAGACTGTAGGCCCAGGGTCTGTGAGCAACTCAGGCCAACGCACGCTTCGCGCTGCATCCGCTGGCGTACCTTTGGCTGCAGAAGTTGCATTGTGCACGCGCAACCGGATCCGAGCTAAGATTGGGTAGTCCCTTTCCGCGACCCCAAAAAAGTATCCCTCATTTTGGGAAACCCGAAATCTTCTAAATCCATATTATGTAACCATATCTCCCCATGTAGTCCCTATATACCCCCTGTGAAGGTACCCATAATTTTGGGCAAACCCCGTGTAGCCTAGGATATCCACAAAGTGTAGGACCATGCCATGCAGCAACCACCAAAAGCAATCCTCATTGCTTTATGTGGTGCTACGGTATTATTAGGGGGGGTGCCCAAAATTAGGGGCCTCTATAAGAGTGCTTTTTGAGGCCTAAATAGAGAGAGTAGAAGGGGGTTCTGGAGCATTGCAGATTGTATTGTACAGCAGTTTTGAAGTAATCCTAGAGCATGCGAGGCCAAGTGATTTGTTCTCAAAACTGTTGACCCTTGTGGTTATAGATTATATTACGGCACCTGATATCTAGAGGTGCCAAAAAGGGACCCTAATTCGAGAACTACCCAAGTGAAAATGGTACGTTCCGAGGCGCCTCAGCGCTTCAGCTAGATCCATTATGAGCCGTCGGCGTTGCAAAGCTTGCTCTCCAGTCTTGAGAAGTTGTAGAAGGAACTAACTATAGTACTATAATGCTATACTATACTTAGTACTCTACCGTCTTCTATAGTACTGGATGGTATTCTATAGTAGCTTAAGTAGTATTTTCGTGTTCAGGAGCTGACTGCGGGTGGTTAGGTGAGTTGCGGTATTGCTCCCCGCTCCTTCTACTGCTTGTTTTTCCAAACTGAAATTCCTGAATGTAGATATTTTGCCGCCTCATCTAAAGGAAGGGTCCTTGAAGGTCCCCAATGCGGCAAAGACTCTTGCACGGAATTGCCAAATCAAAGCCAGGGCTGGTATGTGAAGGCATCGCGTTTGCAGCGCAGTGTGAAACTAAATGCACTTGAATCAAACAGAAGTTTCACATGCTCGTCCAAGTGCTGCATGTAGAATGGCTGGCTTGCCACTTGCTGAAGGGATCTGCAGTTTCTGTGGAGCTGCCCCGGTAGCTTTCAGGAGCTAAGAGCCTGGATAGGCATCCTTGCTTTCAGATTGAATTCAGGCCGCTGCCGCACACCCTAAACAGGGGTTGTGGCAAGCGTATACTGCTTCTTTGACCGACGTCCAGCTTGCATCACTGTCACTTGCAGATGGTAACGGCCAAGCCCTTTAGCTGAAGTCTTGTCCGGTGCCAGAAGCGGGTCGGCGGAGAAAGTCTCACTCAGCGATAGACGTATGACATGGCCAAGGGCGCGCCTGTCCAATTTGTTCTTCGGGGGGCTCACGCTACAGGACCCGCTACTTTCTTTAGGGCTTAGGGACCGCATACATCAGCCAAGAAATGAGGCAGACATTGTTGCATTCTGGCATTCTGGCTCAAGCCAAGACCAGGAAAGGTTGGAACTTGCATGCGTCTATCTAGGCCTAAGTACTTACTATTAGGGACCATGTACCACTATTTAAGGGTAGAAGGAGAGTCCTGGTAGCAAGTTCTAGCGGCTTCATCGCACAGTGACTTCATACGCGGGGGAGGGACAGCATTAGCCCAATGCTCATCTTTGCTGAAAATATCTGCTATGCGGGGATTTCCCCTCAGTTCATCATAATCTGGGTCCCTCTAGTGGGGTTCCTAGTATAATACGTGTCCCTAAATAATTTCAACCATAATGGGAAAAGTAATCCCTGAACCCTAAACCCTAAATAGTAGTTTCCATTTTCTTTTCCGTTAATTATCCCTACAATACCCCAATATTACCCCAATATTACCTCAATATCACCCCTAAACCCTAGCCCCCAAACCCTAGACTCCAAACCCTAGATTAGACAGAGTCCCTTTTTGTCCGAGTCCAAGATGTCGGCCAATACGGAGACGTCGCGAACTCATGGCACTGCAAACAGGCCAGATGGAGGTTTACTATTATACTACGGGGTTCATGGGTAATTTTTAGGGGTATCATTTTTGGGGATATTACCCCCAATAATGGAGGAACAAATAGAAAAGGAAATGGAACATGTAGTGGAAACTAGGTCATGGCACTACAATCAGGCCAAATGGGCTAAAGTCTCAAGTCCTTAAAGAGGGGTTATATGGGGGATTATACAGGGTTTAGGGTTTAGGATGTAAATACGGTTTAGGATTTAGGGTTTAGGGTCTAAAATCCTTAAAGGGGATTAAATAGGGGGGTACTATAGGGGTTATTGAGGGAAATACTAGGAGTTTAGACTGTGGCTGAAATGAGAGTAAGCCGAGTCAGATTTCGATGCTGCGTCCGGAGCTGCGCACCTCAGGAGTACCGGTTGCCAGATGCTTATCAGCAAGGGCCCCAACTCCACAACTCGGCGCTGGGTGAGGTTTGCGCAAGCCTTGTCGTCTGAGTGTAGGCGCTTGCCCGGCAGAGACTTCGATTTCGGGGAGGCCTTAGTTGCATGGTGGCGCCAGGCTTGACAGATACTGTTTTGCCAGGGTCTCTCGGTGGATCGCGAGGACACGCATGGCAGGCAGCAAGGGAGGGCTTGCAATGAACTTATGCGTTCCGGTCATAGGTGTCAGATAGTGTCAGGTAGGCCAGTGAATAGACGTGGCACCTTGGAGCATCCACTGAGCACCTGCAGCCAAAATGAGCATTACTTCCGCAGCGTCCGCCCGCTACAGGCTCCCAAAGTCGACTGCTACAGCCTGCTCGGCGGTGGTCTCATGCTTTGATTGCTCTGTCGCGAAGAGTAGAGTCCGCGTCTTCAGGTGTTTCAGAGACGGCCAGTATGCAAGACATCAAGAAAGCCTATCTTCGGCGCCGGGGGCTATTCTGCTTGCTTGCAAGTGCATTTTCCTGGGCAGTCATTTTGTCCCAGGCGCTAAACAGGCGCATCCCGATGTCATGGGCTGCGGTACAGTGCTCAGTCTCAGCTTGGCCGTTTGGCAAAGTTTTGCATCCCCCACGGCTCGTACCCAAGCAGCGGCGAACAGTAGATCAGTGGGGGGTATATAGGGTTTAGGATTTAGGATTGGGTAATATGACCCCCAGTAACGAGAATCGAAGGGGAAAGAAAAGGGAAAAGGAAACAGAAACTGGGGGTTGTGCAGGCTCGAACGACATGGTCCAGCTCAATCTCTGCCACAACCTTGGGAAAGATGGTGGTCAGATAGGGGGGACCCTAATGTAGACCCCAAGATACAATAATCCTTGGCATTGGGAACCCCAAAAGGTACCCCTAATCTTGGAAAACCCACAGATGCTGCAGAGAAGCAGGGAGTATGTACAGCTCTTGCGTCCCCGAGCCGAAAGTTGCGCTGCTCGATCATACCCCGAGATGTATGCATTGGAACTTAGGTTATGAGGCCCTCACCCAGAAGCGTCGGGAGTATGATGCTGCAAAGGGAACAGGCGCGAAGCCGGTGCAACACAAATTCAGGTGGTCTGAGGTTCTTGGCAAACAGACTCATCTCCTGTGTTTTTTTTGCACCTGCCTGCTTAATCATCCTTAGATTTTAATCCCAGTTTGCATTTAAATGTTCATGCTCCTTTCCATTGGATTCTCTATTACTGGCGGTGGTGTCCTTGAATTGCCGTGGCAGGTCAGAAGACCTCTTCCAACTCCAGCTCAGCCAGCTCCTCCACGTGGAACACTCGAGAAGCGTGGTGGCCAAGGCCCCAGAAAAGCCTTTCGTGGCTGGCTCGTCTGGCCAATCCAAGCTGCAGTCAGCGTGCTTCTCAAGCCTTTTTTACATTTGGGACCACATGAGCCCACAGAAAGGGTGCGCAATGGTACAAGACACTGGTGCTACACCTTGATGTGCTAGAGCACTCCTGAGGCGTGCTCAGGGTGGGTTCGAGGACCAGGCCTGCAAAATGCCGAGAGCGGCGATACATCATCAATCCCATGAAGCCTGTAGGGCAGAGCCAGGACGAAGACTACCATCCGTTCCATTTTCAAGACTTTGCAGAAAGGAAGTGGCGTGCTGACCTTAGTGACGCAACTCGTGACTTGACTGCTTCGCCTCTGTCCACTTCTTCATGATGTAGCTTGCCGGGCTTGATGCCGAACTCCAGGCCCGAAAAGGGAAAATGGCAGGCGCCACAGCCCTGGCTATTGGGCTCAGCACAGTTCGGATGCGTTGCAGGTGAGACAACAGGGCACATCCAAGGCCGGCCTTCCTGGGAAGACTTTGCACAGATGTGGGACGAGGGCGCAAAGCTCTCAGATAATTCAGATCTTGAATCGGTGCTGAGAAGGCTTCCGCGTATCTCGCTTGGAATCTGAGGAGTTTGATGCTCGGGATCGAGGCTCGCCCCTGGCAATGTCCCACTAGTCCCCTCCCCCTACCCTATTCGACAACCCCTGATATTGAACCATTATGGATTAGGGAAGGTGGTTGTCAAGAGCTTCTATCCAATCAGGGCCGCGCAAGAAGCGTGGCCGCCGGGCGGCGAGGCGCTTGCGGTTGATAGGAACGCACAGGCATACCTTTGTTTTGGGCTTAGTTTTGAGAGTCATACTAGAACCATTCGTACTTGGAGGTATCCGCAAATCAAGGCCCCTTCTAAAAAGGACCAGAGTATTTGGGGGTCTATATTGGGCCCCCCCTTTCCGCGCCAAGTATTATACTTCAGCTTACGCTTGTAAGGCATCCTGTGCATCTTAAACAGGAGAGTACAAGATTGGAGCAGCGATGATGAAGAGGCGGGCCGCGTGCAGATGCTGGTCATGCGGAGCTCCAACCTGTTCATTGCAAGTCCCTAAACCCTTCAGCCGCTCAAATCTTCATTATGCATCCGCTATATAGCGTTATCATAGCCTACCCTAAACCCTTTGCAATCTCCATTGCTTAAGAGCCTCCGGCTCAGGCAGCCGACCAAGTAGGAGGCAGTGCGGAGGGTGCGGGACGTTGGCAAGATTGGATGTTTCGAGTTTGGCCCTGGAAGAAGGGAGGCTGCTTCATCGCGTTGCCGTTGACCCTGGGGCCGCGTCCGCGTGATTGTTGCGCACCTGACGCGCAGATCGCGTGAGCCCGCACCATTCGACGTGCGAAGATTCCGCCCCGCAGCCTTGTAATATTTCGGGGGCAAAGGGGGGGAAGGGGAGGGTTTTTCCTCCCCGTAAGGACCCTCCAACAAGCCACCGAAGTCGGCGGATATATCCCCTATACAGCTCTGTTAAAACCTTAAACCCTAACCCTATATGGGCTAAAGGGTCCTTGTAAAGAAGGGACCAGAACACACTTCCTTAAAGGAGGGTCAAGTAGGGAACTTACAATATGGCCATTTTTGGGACAGGTATTTTGAACAACTACCATATAGCTCTGTTATATATATATATATATTCCCTTTTCTGCTAGTTTACCCCTAAACCCTCAACTCTCCACCCTAAACCCTATATGTTGAGTACTGCCCCACTCTGTACCGGTTGGAGAACATCACGAACATAGCCATATTATGTAGCCCTTAGTATGACCCTCATATAAACTGTTTCAGGGTGGGGGCAGTACCCAATCCCGCTAAACCCTAAACCCTAAATAGTAGTGTCCATGTTATTTTCCATTACCCCTAAAGCCCTAAATGGTAGTTTCCATGTTCCTTTCCATTATCCCCTAAACCCCAAATAGTAGTTTCCCTTCTGATTTCCATTATCTCCTAAATCCTATATAGCTCTGTTATAGCCGCCATTCAGTAGATAGAATATGGCCTTGGGTATATTATAATAAGATCTCCATATACCCCATATTCTATCTACTTAAGGGGGACTATACCCTAAACCCTATATGCCCATCTTCTATCTACTTAAAGGGGACTCTACCCTAAACCCTAAAGCCTAAACCCTATATTCTATCTGCTTAAGGGGGCCTATATATATTCTACAGACAGGAGATGGACTGGCGTCAGCGGCCGCCTGGCCATGGCAGCCAAGCACGCGGCTCACACTGGACTGCGACCCAGTTGACACAGGGGAAATACTGGGGCAATATGGTGTAATATTGGGGTTATGCAGGGTTTGGAGTTAAGGGCTTAGGGTTCCAGGTTCAGGGTTTAGGGGTTCAGGAATTGTACAAAAATGGAAACTATGCCATGTTGTGAGGGTTGGTGTAGGGACTACTATAAGGATCTATGCCTGAGTGAGTTGATTTGCTCGCCAAATTCTGGTCGTACTTTAGAGGGCTGTAGATGTGTTGTACTGGCCAGCTATTTGCGTGATTCCAGCGCTGGTTTCATGTGGGTCCCACCAACAAGGATTGAAGTCGTAACATTGTGGGATCCACATTTGGCTCGCCCATTTATGGAAACCACCATGTCTTATGGTGTCTTTGGCGGTGGCTCGTCTGTGTTTTTGTGACGCTGACCCATGCTGGCTTCGAGTGTTCGCCTGCAATGTGAGACTACAGCGTAGGAAAAGATCCAAGCTTGATGAGAGAGGGCATGCTTTTAAGGCTCCTGAAGCTGTGTTGCTGCAGGCAGGATTCATCATCCAGCGAGGACTGCAATGCCACATATGTATGCGATGATACAGGCGCACTTCAAATACAGTCAAAGTTGACATAGTGCTGAGGATGAACAAGAAGAGGAGCCAAGAGGCCCAAAGTCAGGCCTGTATGAATCTGTCTCCCTCAATTGTCGCCACCGAAAGCTGAACATGCACTACACACTGTCACTGTGCAGGCCGGCAGGAGGACATTCCAACAGAGCTGTGGGTGCACCTGCTTTTTGAATGGTTTAGTTCAGGGTTTAGGAAAGTCGTGCAAAACCATAGCTGCGAAGCCTTTTTGCAACTTGAGTGCTTTGCAGATTGGAGTTCCACAACGTGGGCGCAACATGCCGACGCCTCACAAATCTGTAACAGAGCCAGGGGAGACGTGCAAATGCTTCTTCCTGGATATTCCTGGGGATTTCCAAGAATCAGGGGTCCTATTTGGGGTCCCCATGATAAGGATCACAATATATTTGGGCACATAACGGGTCACCGCCTTTTTGGAAACTACCGAGTGACCCCTAAACCCCTTTAAACTACAAACAGGCTCTCTAATTGGCATTTTATTTGCAACTTTCTTTCCGTTTTGATTCCACTATTTGGGGCAAGACGTTGTTAAGACGAGCGGCGCAAAAAAAAGAGGATTGTTTAGGGATTAGGCAGGGGACGTTTGTATGCCCCAATAATGGAGAATCAAATGGGAAAGAAGATTAACAACAAAATGGAAACTGGGGATATGTAGGGGTTTATATATATAGATATATATATAGAGGGATCATAGGGTTTCCAACAATCATGGGTCCCTTTTTGGAAGCCCCTATACGATGAGGACTATGGTATATTGGGGTCCATGGATGATTGAACTCCATGTGGGTGTTGGCAGTGAATGGTCAAGCGTTCTCAGTGAGGCTTCTCAGCCGGTATTGTGGAGGGACGTGGGAAACCTCTAAACCCTAAACCCCAAACAGAGCAGAAGCAGGAGGTTGCTTTTGAGAGAGGGACTGATGAACTTCAGTCCCCGCCCCTTAGCCAGTGTGCAAAGACAAATTAGGATCAGTCTAAGTGCTTTAGACAGGTGCATGGGCTGTGCTGGCCATTCTTGCTTCACAACGATTACTATTGTAGCTGTAGTAGTTGTTCTTCTTCTCCTTCTCATTGTTATTGCTGTTGTTGGTCCATTATAAATGCTACTAAAGTCCTTATTACCATTCTTTTATTATTCCTACTACTGTTCCTGTTTCAGAAGCGCCAACAGAATCTTACCCTAAACCCAGCACTCTAAACAGTAGCCTCCATTTGTTCCATTTGTTTCTCCGTTACTGGTGTTACATTAGTGGACACCAAGAATATTCAATCTTTTCAGGAATGTCGGTATTGGTTTCCGCGAAGCCCTGCATGCAGAATGTTTTGTACCAGCTGAAAGAATACGGCACAGCAGTTCCAGTTTTGCGGGCGGGAAGTGCTGATTGTGACTTGCGTGAATGCCGCTGCGTCCTTGCACTGAGGCGATGGGAGAACGTCGGTGGAGGATACCAAAGGCCAGACGTCAAGCTCCAACACGAGCAAGAAAAGCATGATGCATTTCGAGTCGGCTTTGTTTACAGAACAGCGTTGGAAAGTGCCAACTTATCTACTTGAACTTTGGCCGCGTTATTGCAATGAGAAAGAGGAAGGAAGCTGCCAGGATTTGGCATGTTACAGCCCAGCAGCAGGTTTACCTCACTGCTTGAGAAATGTTTTCATCTTTGGGTTTTTGTGCTGAACGTCCATCCATTCGCGACAAACTTAGGCTGTGCTTCTTCCTCAATCCTTTTCGCCCTAAACAGCAAGTCCTCCCAAAATAGATAGCGGAGTTGGTGCTTATGCATTTCCTGTTTAGTCAAGGGGCGTGCAAGGGCCAAAGCAATCCCCGGGATCCGCTTACAATCCCGCCCTAAACCCTTAACTCCTAACCCAGTTTCCCAGGGCCCATAGTTCGAGAAACTCATACTTCGACCTAGTTTCCATTCCATGTTGCTGTTCATCTTATGTTCCATTTGATTCTCCATGATTAGGGTCAACGTCCGTGCAATCCCCAAGGAACCCCCTATAATCTCCCCATAAGCCCCATATGATCCCAATTTAATCCCTGTATAACCCCGCAGAATCACCGTGTAATGCCTGTATAGTTTGGAAAATTAGTACAACACTACCTGGGCACGCAGAAGGGTAGCCAGGAGGTCTGTTCTTACAGGGGGATGAGGGTTTATGGTGTAGGGTTGAGGTGTTCAAGGTTTAGAGTTCGGGAATCAGGGTTGCGGGTTCGGGATTTAGAGTTGCGGGCTTAGGGTTTTGGGTTTAGGCCTGGGGGGCTCCCTCTAAACCTCCTCCGCAAAGTCTATCCCTTAAACGAATAATGAAATACAGGTCACTTTATCCTGGAAACAAGGCGCGCAATAGCCGGAAACAACCACCCGCTCCTCGACAGACCAGCTGTCTTCTCGAGTTGTCCACATGCGGCGTCTTCTGTCATAACGAGAGTATAACGGTAAGGGTCCAGAGAGAAAAACCAGCTTTAATTCTAAAAGCATGGAGAATCCTGGCATATGTGTATCAAGACCTAGGAGGCACACAACAATATGAAGTAGCCGCATCTGTCATTCTGGATGTCCAAGGCGTGGTAGCCAAAGACTGCAATGGAGTCAGAGCCTGCCATATCTGCCATCAACCATTATGTCCTTCTGGGAATAGCCCCCAACGCCTCTCAAGAAGATGTTCGGAAAGCGCATCGCATCCTGGCTCTGAAATGGCATCCAGACAAGGTGGAGGATCCGACTGATGAGATTGCAGTCCGCGTCGCAACGCAGCAATTTCAGTTGCTGCAGGCAGCCTACGAGGTTTTAGCAGACGTGACGCAAAGGCGACGCTACGATGAAAGTCTGAACATCTTGCCGAGTGCCACAGCACATACCAAGACACCGAGCGCTCGTAGAAGTTCGGGAAGCTGGTTGCACAGCGAAGCCGCAAAAATCGCTGTGCCCGCAGAAGTGCCGTCCATCGCTGCTGCTGTAGATCGACTCTCTGTAAGTGGGGGCGAAATTCTCGTTGCTGAAGGCACTTACACAGGCCTTATCGTCATCTCAAAGCCGCTGGTGCGAGTGATCTGCACATCGCCTAAAAAGGCCATCATACAGGGCCAGGTTGTCTTCAGACAGTGTGCTGGTGGTGCCCGGCTGAGCGGGTTTAGCGTGGAGGCATCATGTGCTGGCGGGGCCATAGACTTGAAGGGTGTTGCTGGAGACATCCAGATCGACCACTGCGACATCAGCAATGACTGCTCCGCTGGAATAGTGCTCGAGGGCTGCTCTGGCCGCACCAGCATCAAGCATTGCAGCGTGCGTCGGTGCAAGTACGATGGGTTGGGACTTCACCTACTGGCCGGAGATAGCTCTCACCGAGGTTCACTCAAAATCGAGAACTGCACGTTCCAAGGAAATGGCTATGACGGACTGTACCTTGGCGACCCTCGGTTTACCGCGCGCCTTCATACAAGTTCTATTGTCGGAAACTGTCGCTACGGAATTCTGGTCAGGGGCACAGACTTCTCAATGGAAGGTTGCACCTTCTCAGAGAATGCGGAGGAACCAGTGAAGGTGGAGGGTTTTGTGCATAAGACAAACCCTCGAGGGACCCAGCGAGTTGGCAAAGCAAGGGAGGTTGCAGCAGATTTACCCGAAGGTTGGCGAGCTTTCCGCAATGCAGAGGGTCTTGTCTACTACTACCACATGGCCTCTGGAAAGACCAGGTGGGATTTCCCAAAATCGGGGTCCCATTGGTATCCCCAAATCTTAGGTGCCCTAAGGTAATCCACAACCAAAAAGGGCCCATGCTTTTGAGAACAACCTAGGTGGTCTCTGCCTGGTCAGGAAGACGATACTCAACCTGAGCCTTTGCCATTGGAAGCGCCAAAGAAGCGCAGCCGATGGAGCTGATCATGGTCGAGCTGGGAGTAGGGCAGGAATCATACAGGGAGAAGATAGAGGTATCATGTAGAATTGAATAGCGGATTGTAATGATGTTACCCCCCCAAAAAATGGTAAAGCACCGAAAATAAGATGGAAACTCGGAGACTGTCACTTCACAATGACACCCTGCAAGTTAATGGAATAGGAGAGTCCTCGGAGAACGTTAGAGACCTGCCACGCTTTGTGCCATGGAAAGCTCTGAAGACGCGTTGTTTAATGTTGGCAAGACCAAAGGTGCTGATTTGCGGTTATTTGCAGTTAGTTCTTTGGTGCCTGTACTGCCCAGCATCTTTGAAGGCTTGAGGCTCTCTTCAACGGGCGACCAGCGCTGGACTTTGATTCGTGAACCACGTGTGCGGCTGCACGGAGATTGTTAGCGGTGCTGATTCTGCAAGGCCTTCAAGAAGAGTGGAGAGTACAATGTCTTTATCTTTTGGAGCCAGCAGTTCACTTCTCAGCCTTGCACAACTTTCTTCTTGGTATTCCCAAGCATCTGTGCAGTTGAGGTTCGGAGATTGGAAAATCGCGGAGCGGCTTCAGGACGATGGCGCCTGTGCCACGCTGAGTTCCTGAAACCCGAAATCTGCATAGCATACCCTGACGTGAGAAGTGGCCAACGTCGCAGCAATTCTTGTCAAAACGTGTCTGCCCATGAGGTCTGGGCTTCGCAGAGGACATGCGAGGGCGCCGCAGGCGGCGCTGCATCTGCGTGCTGAAGAGATGTCTTTGCAGAGCAACAGTGCCCTGGGCTCCCTCTTCTGGTAGCTTGTGTCTTTTGGCGCAGCAGGCCGTGGCTGCAACATCCGCCTCTGCCAGGGGCCATCTTGCTAAAACAAAGTAAGCAATAGGAACAGTCATCGCAATGATAACAGTAATACTATAACGGTAATATGTTTCCATAATAATAAGAACAATAGTAACCGAATAATCGCAAGCAGAGGAGAACAAGTGCAACCACCTTCCCCCACATTGTATAAGGCGATGGCGCCTGTGGGAACCGACTGCACGCCGTTATGTTCCCAAGCGTGTCTTGGATTGAGTTCCTGGCTGCGCAGTGCGCTCCGTCACCGGCCAGTGGGCTGCTCAGGACTGACCGTGCTTGATGGACCAGACATTTCAGGCGCCCATGGGATGGAAAGCCTGCATCTCAGTCTTGCTTTTCAATTGGAGGAAAAGACTGGAAGACCACTCACGATTCGCAGGACAAGGTGGCCTTATCGTCTAGTTTGGGGTGACAAGCTGTATATGTGACCAGGACGACTTGGATGATGAGGTGCCATGGTCGCGGCCACATTGGTGCAAGCCTCATGTGACACCAGCTGAGCGAAGAAAGTATTGCAATGCGGCGCTGAAGCATTTTACTGCTACACTACGCACACCAGTTTGGCAGAAATCTCGGCCAGCGGGCCAGATCCGTGCGTTGAACACTCTTCAACAAGTTCTGTGGCAGCTTTATCCCACCGCCAGACCCCGCCCAGAGAAGCAGAGAGAGCTAGTGATGCAGCTAGTGAAGGTAGTGCAGTAACAAGGGGTCAGGGTTGAGGACCTATAGGATTTGAGCTAGGTACGTTGCAGTGCATTGTTGGCCCGAGGCATCCTCATGCCCTGAAAGGCAAAAGATGAATTGCCTGAGGAGAGGCAGCTCGAAATAGGCACCAAGAAGCTGAGCTCAAGCAAGTTTGCTGAGGTACTCCATATGATTATGCCACCCTCTTCTTTCATGAGCTGGAATACAGAGAACAGTGGGGTACTGTGAAGCCACCGACATCCACCAACTGAAGGCCCAGACCCAGAAAAGAATTGGTTTGGAAAGTGTCACAAACAGAAGCCGCGGAGCGGCCACAGCGCGACTTGCTCAGTCATGCGAAGTGCTATGTGCAGCGGAGTAATTGCCTGAACTGGAGCGACATGTGTTGAAAAGAAAGCGGGCGGCAGGCATATGCAGGCATACAAGGCTGCAAATGGCAGCTGCCATCGGCAAGATGAACGCACTTGTACGTTCAAATCCATCCAGCACCCATGAAGTTGTCCTGGAAGGCGCTGCCGCAAAAAGAAAAGATGGACGGACAACTTTATGCTGCTTTTGTATGATCGAACGTACGTGCTTCGCCGATGAGCGCAGCGTGTTGATGATGCTTGCCATGGCATATAGAGTGTGAGAAACCGATCAAGTCTAGTATCGCTTTGCTCAGGTCTCAGTGGTCAACCACCGATCTCATTCGACACTTGGCTCGATTAGAGAGCCACACTTTGTCAGACGCCCGCTGCGCGGAGCGGCTTAGATGCCTCATGTGCTCAACGTGCTGCAGGTTGGTGCGAACGGCGCAACATTGATCTTAGTGGTTGCTTTGATCGGGAGGCTCCTGGCACAGAGCATGCTGCGATATGCTGCGTAACTACATCATTTAGCTGGGACTTTTCTGCCAGAAATCAGACTTAGCTTTGCATCCGCGCTGCTTGAGTGCGCAGCCCGCCTCAGCAAACGTGCTGTTGCAGAGGCTGTCGTGGAGCGAGTTATGGCCCTCGCAAGACAGGATTGGCTGCGTTAGCGTCGGGACTTCTATGCAACTTCAGCTGTGCAGGAGATGGCCCGAGACGATGATGATTACGAAAGGAGCCTCTTTCCCGATATGGGGGGTTTCCAAGACTTAGGGGTACCTTGTTGGGGGTCCCCAGAAGAGGGATGGGCGTCTTTTGGGCCCGAAAGACCCAACGTACCTGCTCTGCCTGGGTGACTACGAAGTGCTCACAAGGAGGGACCGCGTTAGCCAAGTCCGCGTGGCTTCTAGGGTGCTGGCCCCAGAAAGTCGGCTAATTACATTTTATTCGCCGGCGCGAGTGCCGCCTGGGCGACGGCAGCAACCCGGCCTGAACTTGCAATGCCGCTTTCATCCAGCAAGTCTGGATGCTTTCTGAAGTGGTCTGGTTGTGCATCCTGTGCGTCAGTGGAGTCATGCCTCCGAACAAGCTCCGCAGATTTGCTCATCACATAGCCAAGCAGGTTTCATTGAGGATGGAACATGAAGGGGGTTCTGATTCATACCCCCCAAACAAGTAGAGGATTCAAAGATCCCCTAATTGAATTTGGTATTTGGGGAGCTTGGAATTGCTCCAAAAGTTCCCTCTATTCCTTACCCATTTTTCTGTTAAGCCAGGAACTCGCTCTATTCCGTAACCAATTGTCAATTACTACCCCCACCCCATCACACGAGAGTGCGCTCAACACTTCTTTGCTTGCTTTTAAGGTGCATAAAAACTTCAAGTTTAATACCCTAGCAGGTCCGGAATCCGTGAAAACCTTCTCTACACTCACATCCCAGACCCTGAACCCTGTCAAACCATGAAACAAAAAACCCTGCGTGCTTGGCTGTTGCAGTCCAGCATTCCTGCAAAGTTTTGGCCCCAGCCAGAGTTAGCTTGCAATCGCACCACCGGACATGGCATGGTGGCTTGGGATGAAATTTGCTGGTTTAAGGTTCAAGGTTGAGGTTTTGATGACCCGGGGTTTGGGTGTACACGTTGGCCCTTCCTGGAGCTTTTCCTCCCTGTGAGTGTCCTTGCGGATTTGGAGGGTTTGGCGTAAGCCCTAGATACTCTTGCTTGAAACTCTTCAAACCCTGAACTGTCCCAAACCTTATCCCCAAAACAGGTTCCATGTTTCCATGTTCTTTCCTATTTGCTTCTCAATCTAAAGGGAGTAACATCCCTAAAGCCTTATCTATCCCTATATACCCCTTTGTCCCCTTAAAACCTGTATAAAGCCAGTCCCCATGCCATTTTCCATTTCAGGCTCTCCATATTTGGAAGGTCTTGGTGGTCCGGTCTTGGTTGCTGACGGTGTGCCTTGGTAGCCTTAGATAGGGTTTGTATGGGGATACATGGGGGGGGGGTGTATAAGGGCTTGCTGAATGAAGAATGAGCAGTTAGAAAGGGTTTCTGAGCACATTAGACGGGAGCTTCTCAAAAGCAGGGGGCCGTAGGGATAAGTGTTATAACGCGATTAATTCCCGGCGCCGTTTGTAGGGACTATGTAGGTAGCCTTTGATTCAAGGCTTCGTAGTGTTTCAGGTCTGGGGCGTGGCATGGGATTTGAGCTTTATGGGGCTTTCCCAAAATTAGGGATACCTTTTTGGGGGTCCGCATAATAAGGACTATAGTATTTGGGGGTCTATATTGGGTTCCGCGTATTTTGGGAAATGACCTTATGGGTTTGTAGGATTTGTGGTTTTGACCCGTAGGGTTTGACGCTGTAGGGCGTAAGGTGGCAAGTTTGAGGAAAACCTGAAACTTCTGTTGAGGGGCAGCATTCATGATTCAGGCTTCAAAGGCGGTTTAGGGTTTTGGGTTACAGCTGCCATAAACATGTGACTATTTCTCTTGAGGATCCGACTTCTGGAACCCTAAACCTTACACCTTAAGCCCTAAACCCAAAACCCTTGAGCACTAAACCCTAAGCCCCTACACCCTTAAGCCCTAAACCCTGAACCCCTATGCCCAGCATCCAAGAGTCATGCCGGGCACCGAGAATCTGATCTTCCGACAATCACAAAACCCCAATGATAGCGGAAAAGCGATGATGAAATGGAAGCTGGGATTATAATGTAGCATCGTATAAAAAAAGTCGATCACATATTCTTATATGACATCATATGATATATTCGCAGTTTATATGCAGTTCGGGGCTTCTAAAAAAATCATGAGAAGCTGGGGCGCAAACAGACGAGAGCCAGGCTACCCCAAACCCGACAAATCGAAAGTGCTGCAATAGCTGGTTTAAAATGAGCGTGAAACCAAAGCCAGTCTGAACACAAGCTATCAGCATGTCAGATGTCATCATCACCTACCTGGACCATTATTCTAAGTGAGCCATTGACAGTACTCACCTATGCGGGAGGAAGAGAGGGAATGTAGCAAGCGCTTACAAAGCCTCCCGCAAGCCGCAAGCGATAGGACGCTCCCCCGCCCAAAAGCGATACCCCTGAATCCAAGACTGCGCCAATACGTTTTCTTCATAACACCCCAAAAGAGATACGGTACCCTTTTTTGGTATCCAGCGCCAAGATCCCCAACAGCAATAGGGCACCCCCAAGCTATCCATGGCAGAGGAGTTTTGACGAACGCTAACATACTTTTGGGGTCAGGTGGCTTTAGGGTGTGGAGCTCTCGTGGGGATACGATGTAACAATAGGGAATCAAATGGAAAAGAAATCGTGAATTCAATAGAAACCGGGACTGCATATGGATACAAGAGGGATTGGCCCCGCACGGTCAGTCCGGGGGTAGATCTGCCCACGAGGCTTCTGGCACAATCTGCTGCAGGCGCCCATCATCCAAAGCGTGCTTTCCCAGCTTTGAGTCTCCTACAAAGGAGTATATAGGGATCTATTGGCATAGATGGGGGTACAGGGATGCTACCCCAAGCGCAGAGAATCAAGTGGAAAAGAACATGGAACATGGAATGGAAACGGGGGTTGTAGTAGTCAGTAGGGTTTACGATTTGAAAAATGAGAGGGCGCTTTCTGGGAGCTGCCATAACAAATTTGACAGGTATACTGGGGGTTTATATTGGGGCCCTGTATTTCTGGAATCGCATAGAATGGATTTGTTCAAGCTTCCGGGTCCCTGTGTGGGGACGCACTTATTCTGAGATATAGAGGACCAATTACCATAGGGGGGCAACCATGCTAGCATACAGCAAGCTCTGACTTTGGATGACTTGTTGGGCTTCGACACAAGGTTCAGCTGATGTAGTCGCACATTTCAGGCAAGGAGCCCGTACTTCGATGTTCTAATATCCTTGATACGCCCTGCAAAAACTTCAGCTGCAGCCGAACTAGGAAAAATCTTCCCCATATCTTTGACAATACAGCTGCCTAGGCTTAGTCGCCGTGAAACTTGAGTCTTGACGAGCCACAATGTTCCCGTTTTGCAGGTCCCCACTCTCTGGATCCAATCTCCTGGTGGTACCCCAGTTCTAGTCCATACCCTTTCTTGCACAGAACTACATACCCTTTTGTTGGCTGTCAAACTATGGCCCCCCTTCGGGTGACAATAGTTTGTAGGGTCAAGCACACTGCACATGTTGCGATTTTATGGAGGTTGCATAGGAACAATGGAAAGAAAATGGCAACTACTTAATGCATGCTGGTCTGTACCTCTGAGAACAGGGAGCTGCTTTTCCGATGCAATCGCTGAGCACTTGAGAAAGAACCTCACCAATGCGACTGGAGCCTCCTATCCGCCCCTTGGCGACTTTGTGCTCGAACCCTTACTAAAGCTCTCGACTCTCTTCCTTCGAGGGTCTATGTGATGTGGACTTCATGCTTGCAGTATGCGGGGTAGGGTGCCGACCTGGAGCGATTTCTCACATGGAGAGCTACAGGTCCAGCAGCTTAATGCGTGTGGATTGCAGATGAAGTTCGGAAAGGGGGCGGTAGCAAAAGCATAAGGTAAACATGTTGTCACCTCTGTCTGTGCCTTTGCAATTGCTATCAGAAACAGCACCCGCAAATTGAAATTGTGCAAGAAGACCACTGAGTGGCACGATGACCAGAGGCATGGCTGCAACTCCTAGGATCGTCGCAGTTAACATGCTGATGTTTATGTTGGAGCTTCCCAAATAAGGGTGATTGATGGGTCCTTATGACATCATGGGTACATAGGCGGGCCAGTGTTTCGTAAAACTTTGCATTTATCTTGCTTTCATCAAAGGTACTGCGAACTGACTCGCTGCCAGATGCTTCAGAACTTCAGTAGCGCCAAACCACTGTGAAACAACATGTACGTACTGTACTCACTCGGCAGTCTCTACACCTGTGTCCGCGCCGCCAGCACCGATCACCGGTTCCCTTTTGCTCCATAGCCACGATCGTTCTGGTTTCCAGTGACCCCCACATATTCCTGAGCAAGTGCTGGAGAAGAACGGCCCCCACCTCCAAACCACAAGCCTGACCCTCAACAGCCCAACCCCTAAACCCCAAACCCTAAACCCTCAGCTCCCAAACCCTACACCCTAGACCGTCCCTGAACCCGATAGACAAGATACGCGAAACTCTGCGCCCGGAAACCCAATTCCTCCACCCAAGTAATGACCGCACACCTCAAATTGGGGTTTTTGGGGGTCCCCATGATAGGGATCACAACATTATGGGTTCCAAATTGATGTCCCCGATTTCGGGAAACTACCAAATTCTGAGCCCTCAACGAGGCTTGGGCTGGTGGTTGCCACGTGGGCAGCTTCGCAGGTATCTTCTCAGGTGGGAAGTTTTTCCAGGGCCCTTTGCAGAAGAATGTCGTAGGTTTGAGGTGTAGAGTTCATGGATTCTGGGATGTCGAAGGGTCGAAATATTGATTGCTATAGTTAGTACAATACTACATATTCTAACACGACTAGAATAGTATTACAATATTACATAGTATTAGGATAATACTACAATAGTACTACTAGGTTCGGGGTGTTACTTTTTTGTCTTGGTCCTGGGGTTTTAAAACGCTGGTTCTGAGAATTCGGTCGTTCTGGAATGCCCCCCATCAATAAATGTTCCCCCTAAAATGTGGCGCCTTTGATATCAGGGACTATTAGAGGAGCGGGGGGACAACTACGCGGAGGGGAATGTCCAGTTTGCAGGTGATTCGGATACTGATTGAGGAAAAGCTGGGCTACCACGTCAAGGAAAGCGAGGTTGGTTCTGCAGTGGAGCAGTTCTACGCAATGGCCAATTGCGCGCGCCCGAGTGAATTTACTGATCGTGGATGCGGGGATGACCAGGACAAAAAAGCCTCTATCTCCC